GAAGGGTCTAGGCCTGAAATGTCAGCTTTCCTGCTCCTCTGATGCTGCTTGGCCTGCTGTGTTCATCCAGCTCTGCACCTTGTTATCTCAGATTTTCCAGCATCTGCAGTTCCTACTATCTCTCTTACACAATTACCTTTCTTTCGGCTGTCAAACTATTTGAAAGTTTATGAATGGAATCATTTGCACATTTACCAGGTGCTTCTCAATCTGCCATTGTGCACATTTTATATCTTAAAACAACAAATCAGTGCTGGAGCAGAATTCCTAGATCAGGGAAGTGCGGAAGGGGGAATGTTTTTAAGTATCTTGGGTATGTAATCAGTGTCAACCTGAATGTCTGGCTACTCTTTTCAGTCTGCAGTAAGTCCTCGCTCTTTTTCCTTCCCACATTCATCTCTCTTTCTCTTTCTCTACTTGTCTCCCCTTAATAATTTCAGGTTTGCTATTTGTCTTCACCACTTCCCAATATTACAGGGGGATATTATACAAGACAAACCTCAGACAGCTAATGCTATTGACTATATTATTAGAAGAATGAAGGGGGATCTCATAGAAACTTATAAAATTCTAAGACAGGGTAGATGCAGGATGGATGTTCCCAGTGGTGGCTCAGTCCAGAACCAGGGGTCATGGCTTAAGGATAAGGGGCAAACCATTATGAGATGAGGAGAAATTTCTTCATCTCGAGAGGGGTGAGCTTGTGGAATTCACTATTACAGAAAGTGGCTGAGGCCAAAACATTCGGTGTTTTCAAGAAGGGGGTAATGGCCTACTGGTATCATCGCTGGACTGTTAATCCAGAGACCCAGGTAATGTTCTGGAGACCTGGGTTCAAATCCCGCCATGCCACATAGTGAAATTTGAATTCAATAAGTATCTGGAATTAAGAGTCAAATGATGACCGTGAATCCATTGCTGATTGTCAGAAAAACCCATCTGGCTCACTAATGCCCTTTAGGGAAGGAAACTGCCACCTGGTCTAGCCAAATGTGAGTCCAGACCCACAGCAATGTGGTTGACTCTGAATTGCCCTCTGGGCAATTAGGGATGGACAATAAATGCTGGCCTGGCCAGCAATGCCCTCATCCTGCGAATGGATAAAGAAAAAAAATCCAGCTCTTGTGGCTAAAGGGATCAAGAGATCAGGGTGACCTCATAGCGCTAGTGACCTGGGTTCGATTCCACCCTCGGGCGACTGTCTGTGTGGAGTTTGCACATTCTCCGCGTGTCTGTGTGGGTTTCCTCCCACAGTCCAAAGATGTGCAGGTTAAGTGGATTGGCAGTGGGAAATTGCCCATAGTGTCCAGGGATGTGCACGCTAGGTAGGGTAGCCACGATAAAAGCCATATGTGGGGTTACAGGGACGGGGTGTGTGGGTGGGTCTGGGTGGGATGCTCTTCAGAGGGTTGGTGAAGATGAAGGGGCAAATGGCCTATTCCCGATCCCATCTTCATTGCTTCTATGTGAGATCACAATCACATGCATGAGAGCCCCAATGCTTGTAGAGAAGTTGGTTCCAGTTTACCTGAATCTATCACTTTATACCGACAGCTACCCTAGATGCATGATGTGGATTCCGTAACACTGCTAACTTACACTCTGATCATGGTAAAGAGGCTTTGACAGATAAGGAAGTGAAGCACTCATCATTCCATACCCAACCACTACTCTTGGGTAGCTATACTTTTGATCCGTCTTATCCAGTTATGCCCCTGGCCAGTGATGACTTCCCAGATTTTTGACAGAAGAGTCAATGAAGGTGTCATGCAGGGAGTCAGGGAGAGATGGTTGGTTTCTTCTCTAGTTTGAGAAGGTGACCCTTCCCCAGTTCTGGACCCAAAACACTAACTCTGATTTCTCTCTAGAGATGCTGCCAGACCTGCTGAGCTTTTCCAGCAATAGGTGTCTGATTTACAGCACCCGCAGTTCTTTCAGTTTTTATTTGGTATCTTTGAAGCCACTTCAAACCCATATCACATTCTGGAAGTAAGACCCCTTTATTGCAACAACCATTTTGCCTTTGAGTTTTCACTTTGAGCCCAATGCACTGATACCTTCAAAGCGCAGTGTGCAAAACTGCAGGATAAAATGGGTAAATGTTGATCAATATACTGTTCACAAAGTTATTGGGAGGTGATCTCTCTCACACCTGGTTCGGCCAACCAAAAATATCATTTTTCAAAAAGAAAACCATAAGTGGCTACATATATTTTAGTGACCAGGAAAGGCAGATTACCCGAGCTTCTTCACTCATTAAAAATCACCTTGTGTAAAAAGCCCATGGGGTTCACTCCAATACCCCTGTTCCTCACCACTGCTCATCAGCATAAGATAGTATGGGTATCACTAGCAACTCAGCCATGGTTGGCTTATCCCTACGTGTCCTCAACAAGCTGCTGGTGAATTGACTTCTTGAAGTTCTGAATCTATGTGGTGTAGGTACATCCTCAGTACTGTCACGGAGGTAGTTACAGGATTTTGCCCCATTGACGATGAAGAAGGGACAGTGATTAAACATCCAAGTTGGGACGACATGTGACTTGGAAAGGGAATTTGTGTTTCCCAACAACCACAGGCTCGTTTCTCTCTTGGACTCTGGGAAATCTGGTTCTCAACCTGTATCTGGCTGTCTCTCCTCCGGTAGTGAACCTGGGATCTCCAAGGGGCTTAGCGAAGGATTCAGCTCCAGTCTAATCCTGTCTTTCCCAGTTCCCAGTGATCAGGAGCTGGGTCCCTGGCTACTTTCTTCTTACATTCCTGAGTATGGGAAAATGTGACCAATTTTAAAACTACTGCCACACGACCATCATCCAATTCTACATAAATCTTTTTGCTCCCTCTGATTGAAGAGTTACCGCGGTTGTAATCCAAGAAAATTACCAAGGGGTAGAAAATTAAGAAATGTGAAAACACACCAGCACTGAAATAGTGCAATGTTTGATGTAAGTAATGGTTTTGAAGGTTACAGCACTTATGTTGATGCAAGCACTTCTAGACTTAGGAGGGTGGAGATAAAAACGATGACAACCGAACTTCACTATCCATTGAGAAGAAGGGACACGCTGGCTTTGGAACCATCCTTTTATTTCGGGAAGACAAGAACAATGTGAGCAAAAAACAAACGTCATCCTGAGAAAGTCCCATATTCATGTCGATAGTAGGCTTTCAGCCAACTGAATATGGCAGGTTGACATTTGCAGGAATGACAGAGGAAGTGTTTATCTGGATCACATGACCAGTGTGCAGTTCCTAAAAGGTAGACTCTTTTGCATTGAAGTGAATGCATAATGAACCAAAAACGCCGAGCATCCAAAGGAAATTAGTTCGAGCAACAGAGTAGATTGTTTCAGCAAGTTGCTCCCAATGATTTCTCCGCACAAAAGCCAGCTATGGAGAAGTTTGTCAATTTCCACCTTCACTGTTAGTGGTGAATTATAGGCATAATTTGACAGGACAAGAACATAAAGAAGACAGAAACAAGAACAGCCATGTACGCTGATACTTATCAAACAGAGGCAGCATTGATGAACAAAGCACATCCCTTAGGATAGGGGTTGGCAGCGAGGGCAGAGAGAGCTGGTTCTCAACAGGACCTCGACCAGGCATTGCTTTTGAACAAGGAACATCAATCCAAAGGTTTACTTGTCATGTTCCCCACTTGACAAATCCTAGCCTGCCCCAGCCCCAGATTATATGGTGGGAAGAAGTCCTTAATTGGGCATCAATTGTCTACTCAAGTGCCCTAATTGGCAGGAAGGCAGCCCCAGGTGCCTACCTGACACAGGTTTAAACAGGATGGAAGCAAGACAGCAAAAAGGTGCCTTGCTTAACGCACTCACTCCGTCCCCACCATGGCCCACTCGCGTAATTAAACACCTCCTACCACCAAATTCACCAGGGAGCCTTAGCGTTAAGATCGACTCAAAGCGTGCAGCAAAAGAAGTAACAATGCAACCGCAGAAATATTCAAGGTTTCTGAGTAGCTCGGCTTTTTGATGCGGTTGATGACTTGCTCACCGAGCTGGTAAGTTGGTTCGCAAATGTTTCATCACCATGCTAGGTAACATCACCAGCGCACCTCTGGTGAAGCGTCGGTGTTCTGTCCTGCTTGCTATTTATGAGTCTCAGTTTGTTATGGTGGGTGGCATCACTTCCAGATTTGTTCCTTAGTGGTTGGTACATGGTACATGGACAAAGAGGGGCACCAATTCGACTGGGACAACGTAGCCATCCTAGGACAAGCCAAGCAAAGACACGCACGAGAATTCCTGGAGGCCTGGCATTCAAACGCTCAAACTGGAATTCCATTAACAAACATGGAAGTGCTGGACCCCATATACCAACCGCTAAGAAACAAATCCAGAAGTGATGTCACCCACCCCAGCAAAACGAGATGCATAAATAGCAAGTGGGACAGAACACCGATGGCGCATTGATGATGTTATCTAGCATGGTGGTGAAATGTTTGCGAACAAACTTACCAGCTCGGCGAGCAAGTCAACAACCACACCACAGAGATATCTCCAGCTTTCTACATCATCACATTAATTGTGAGAAATATGGGAGATACTAACAAATGTTTTTCAAAGGTCCAGTTGGCTCAGTCACTAAACACCACACCCGATATTGCACTGAGCCCCAAATTGCAGGAAAGTATCTGGTTCAATCCATGGTCTTTGCTGAATACTGTATTCGTACCCAGAATCTGCAAACGACCCCTGTGCTCCCTGCTTTGTCCTTAAATGCCATCCAATGATTCCAGTTGGGAAAATGTCTTTCTGCAGATGTCAGGTAAGGACTGGACCTCAAAGTCAAGGTCTAAGCTCAAATGAAGTAAAGCCATCGAGTTCAATACAGAAAAGCAGTGAAGATGCTGGTGGAAGCCTAAAATGAGCCAGGACAGCAAAACAGGTATCATCATTAGTAATTATACTGTCCTTGCTTATTCTTGGCAGCTATGTTGCTAACTATTTGTGTCTAACCTCTGCATCAATGTATTAAGCACACCCACTATCCCAAGCAGAGCTTGCTATAGAATCCTGCTTGTAATTGACTTTACTTGTTCCAAAAGAGTCTTCATCTCTCATCCGCACATTGTTCTGCTGTTGCTGCTGTTCAATAGCTCCTCTTACCTCCTCACCGTCTGTTCTTTTTTGTTCTGCCTCTTTGGTGCTGCACTGTAGGATTGATAAAAGATCCATTTTACAGTCCCGCACTGTCAATCTTCGGCTGCCTTCCTGGTTTTAGCACAAGGTGAAGATTAGGGAACATTAGGGAAAGGACTCTCATAGGAAAACCCACTGACTTAACTTGGTATTGTTTTGGACAGACAGTACAAGATTACACAGTGGAGAAGAGATCACCACAACTAGAAAGACCACTTTAAAACCACTTGCACGTTAGGTTGTGAACATAGAGATAACACCTGTGTCAATCAATTGTGGGTGGTATACGATGGAATATTATAAGTCACTTGTCCAGAGGTGTAGCACTAGGTTACAAAAAAAGGCTTTATTTTAGAAAAAGCTAAACATTACACAGAAGAATGCAATGAAACTCAGCTCTATTGCAACGGCTCTAACCAATCTTTCATCGTCATCTGCTATCAGTTTTACTGCCTGCTATAATGTTTCTGACAAGCTTAAGATAGCCATGAGTTTTCATTCTGGGCTTAAACTTAAGGTAGACCTTCAGCTTTCAAAATGTTGTTCATTTTAGAAATTCCGCAGATTGTTAAGACAATTCAAACTTGCGCATAAACCCAAGATAAACACCATCTCAGATATAAATACAAATATGAGATATTAGATCACAGTGTTCTTTACAAAGTCATTGTCTGTGCCTGAACTTCCTTTTGGAAAAGGTGCCCATTCGAGTTAAAAATAAAATTAACTTGTTGAGGAATAATAGAAAAAACAACATTAAAACATTTATGTAAAATGCAAAAATGCAAAACATAAAATCACCTTGATGGGCACTGAGACTGAAGGGGTTAAGGTTCTTTAAAAGACAAAGATTTTCCCATTGTAAAAGGTGTCTGCTTGGAATGCTTAGCCTCAAACAGAATGCAACTCTCCAGCTTATTTTATTTCATGAGGCACAGAAGGAGCTGTTTAGCCCACCTGGCTGTCAGTGTGTTGCTGGCTCACGTATAAATATCTGTATTTGGCTACCACTCAAACTTCTATTGCGTAACAGGAAGCTTGAAGAAAATCAATAATGATATCAATACTCATAAGGTAATGAAATGAGAATAGTTCCTTTGCATACTGTACATTGCTCAGAGCATCAATGGCAGGACTGGATCCATTTACACATCACACTCATTGTTAACACCTTTATATCTGAAATCTATTTAACAGACTGGGCAATGCAAAACTCCACTTTTGAAGAATGTGCTATCAAAATATTTAAGGAGAATTTCCTGCAAGACCCATCTCCAAAGTGTCAAGGGCACAGCGAAGGTTCCTGGATGACAGTTTAGCATTTAGCAGGTTCAAAACCTTCTATCACAATGTCATTGGTGTCAGATTATTGATCAATTGTCCATCATTACTCTCACGTTCAAGTGAATTCCCTTCATGTTGGGACTGCCTGAGTCAGAAATGAGGAATGTTGATGAGGTATGGGGATTGCGGGTGTTGAAAGAATTCCCAAGGAGGTGTGAATTACACCTCTCTGGAGTGGATCTCTTGAGCACCATTTTCAATACCCCATCTGGGTTGTAGGATACCATGGCAGATCATTTATCCTTTACAGAAGCTGTCCATTCCACCAGTTTCAATGAGCACCTAATCATGTTGCCTGCTTCTGAATGAAGCTGGCTTTCCCTACTGACCTTGATTGATGTTTTATCGCAGGGTTCAGTGATAGGGAAGGAACAAAGCATGACAGGAAATGTAGGCAAGTGCGGGATGCAAGGAGTAAATGAATCCAAATGAAGCTGGAGAGTTGCATTCTGCTTGAGGCTAAGCATTCCAAGCAGACACCTTTTACAATGGGAAAATCTTTGTCTTTTAAAGAACCTTAACCCCTTCAGTCTCAGTGCCCATCAAGGTGATTTTATGTTTTGCATTACTGCATTTTACATAAATGTTTTAATGTTGTTATAAAGCTATGCTGACCACGTAGGAGGTCATTCAGCCCATCAGGTCTGTGCTAGATGTCCGCATAACAATCCACGTGTTTCATCCATGTGTTCTATCCCAAGATCCTGTTCAATTTTCTTTTGAAACCGGAGAACACTTCTATCATCCTAGCAGATATTGTGCTCCAGGTCTTTGCTACTTACTATGTAGAAATGTTCTTCCTCTCAGTCCTCCTGTCCAAAACCTTAAACCATGTCCCCTGGTCCTTACAACATCAGTCAATGGAAGCAACTTTTCTTTGTCTACCATAGCTGTCATAATGTTGTAACTTACTATTAAACGTCCCCTCAAAAGAAGCAGAACCCCAACTTCCAACCTTCTCTCTAGTTGAATTCCACACCACCTGGAACCAACTTGGCCAATCTCTTCAGCACCCTCTTATGGTGTTTCTCAAACATGTGGCAGCTAGAGCAGGGCACATTTCTTTAGCTGTGGCCTCAACAGAGCTTTATAAAGATTCAGCAGAGAAAATAGCAAGCTACAGAAACAGTCACAGAAATGTTATGGCACAGAAAGAGGCCGTTTGGCCCGACACTCTCCTTGTCATTGCCTAATGCCAATCTCCTGCTATAACCTGTACCCTTGCCCAATATTTCTATCCAAATAACTATAGCCAATAGAATAGGAGCCTCGGTCTATAGGGCTCCAGATAGGATGTCCTCTCTTACTATCCTAGGTACAGGCTGTCCCTTAGCTCCATTCTGGAGTTTGTTCACACCTCCATATGTACATAAGTTGGAACATAATGCAGGACAATATAAAGTAGCCATTTGTAAGGACAGGAAATGCCTGTATGTCAACTCTTTAAACTTGTACTCCTGTATGAGATCGCCTTCATAAGTATGAATGTTTGTAAGTCAGATGTTCATAAATTAGGGACCCTCTGTATACTATTATGTTTCATAAAAGCCTGTTGCTGTTTGCACACAATAGTGTAGACTTCACATTATTACAGTAACTTGTAAGTTCGATATAAGTCCCTTACAGAAACTATTATTTGTACCAATACAGACCAACATCAAATCTTTTATTATGAGCCAAGCTTTAACTTGACATCACAATCCCCAGAACTGAAACCAGAGCATAAAAATATTATTAAACTTCATAAAATCACCTGACTGGGTGTGGCTTGACATTATATTTTACTGTAAATAGTTCTTCTACCAAATTCTGATTACTGTAAATTTTTGTTTAGCCCTGGTATTCCAGTCTGAAATCTTTTTTTGGGAGAAACAAACACACCAAGCAAAACATTTTCAATTTATGTTAATACTCCAGCTTTCCATCAGGCTCTCAGAAAACAGGAGTTCAAGGTTGGTATTTGCAGGAATGGGAGAGGAAGCTGTTACTTGGATCACGTGATCAGACTGCAGGGTCCTGAAAAAATTCATTTTGGCACAGAGCTGAATGAATAATAAACAAAAACTTTGATCATCCGCAGGAAATTTGTTTCAGAACAACAGGGGAGTGTTGGATTGATACACTCAGTGCTTTCAACATACAAAGGCCAGCATTTAACTGCACAGTAAGTACAGAAACAGCCGTTTCACACCATAGCCATCACCATAGAAACCGTCTTATCTTCCTGTATCTCTTCCATGTATGAATACAAGTTTCTGGCGATAGATGGGCTGTACATTGTCAAATTCATACCATCAGTCCTGACATGTGATTGTTCAAAAACAAGTTTTTTTACAAACTAAGACAATAGAAACAGGAAATTCGATTCTCTATGGCAACCTCTATAAGTAGTCTGTTTATAACTTGCAAGTTCTTCTCACCTCTTAGTCTTTGCTTCTCCCTTGTCTCACAATTATTTCTGTAACTTATTATTTTCCATTGTTATTTCATTTTGTTTTTTGTCGCATATGTGCAGCCATTTCCCCTCATTCCCTGTTCCGTTGCCCCTCACTCCTTAAATGTAGGCTGCAACAATACAGGTAAATCTTCCTTCATCATTTGTTGGAGTGGTTTGCACACCATTTTTTAATTCACTCATGGGGCGTGGATGTTGCTGCCTGACCAGTATTTTATTGCTCGTCCCCAGCTGGCCTTGAACCGAGTGGCTTGCTAGGCCATTTCAGAGGGCAGTTGAGAGTCAACCACATTGCTGTGGGTCTGGAGTCATATCTAGACTAGACCAGGTGAGGATGGCAGATTACCTTCCCTACAGAACATGAGTGAGCCAGACGGGTTTTTCCAACAATTGACAATGGTTTCATGGTCATCACTAGATTCTTAATTCCAGATTTTCTTTTCTGGTCAAGGGCATAGATCTTGCAGTTTTTTAAGTTGTTTACCCCTCAGCACATTCCTTTTTCGCAAGACAAAATTAAAGAAAAGTTTGAGTAAAGTATTTGACTGCACAATTACAGAATGTTGCATGGGCTCAAATGAAAATGATTTCTCACTCTGTCTCCAGATTTCTAGAATACTTAATAATCTATTTTTGCACAGATTAAGAATGATCGGAGCTATGTTAAACAGCGCATGAGTGTAGAATCTCCATTCCATTCTTTTTATTCAATCGTTCTTTTGCCAAAACTAAAACTATTTTTGCTAAAATATGATCTCAAGCCCAGATCATTTGCTTGATACATGCAATCAATTCGTTACCCCCTTCGCTGCCACTGATAGGGCAGTGTCTTTGTTGCAAGTTGGCTTCAGGTGCCACTCAACAAAGTTCTGCTAATGTACAACCAGAATAAGAGGATGAGATGAGTCAGTAGCAGGTCAGTGGACTAAGATCTCCAGACGTAATTGGATAATGGTCTTGGAGTCTGATGGCTTCCTCCTTTCACCATCATACACACCCACAATGCAATTCCATACCAGATGCCTGTCCCAAACAAGCTTGATTTCTATCTGCTTCCTAGGATGGATTGTGACACTTGCACACATATTTCCCATTGCCTCCCGAGCTTCAATGGGATTGTCCGTGGAAAAAGTCATTATTATGTATATTTTCCTTGCCGCAGAATTGCACTCAATACTTCGCTTATGCTCTATTTTTCGAGTGAGCAATAATC